CTACAGTGGCGACCGAACTAAAAGTGTGGTGGAAGATGTTTCTCCACACTCATGATTTGACGACTGGATCCCTTAAAAACCCAGTCGCCCTTTTAAACGGGGAGTATATAAGGTGTTTCTCCAGCCTTCTTAGCATGCCTTCGTAGTGTAGTGGTCTGCACGCTCGGCGCGTATTCCAGAGGTCCGTAGTTAGAAGGCGTTGCTCATTTTTCATCACGCTTGCTTCCAAAATACCTAATGTCTCTACATGCTATTAAACTGTTTATAAATTTCATTCATTACCGGTACTATTTTAAGTAATAATTAGAAATGCAGAAACTGATTCAAATAACCCATTCAATTTGCTGAGCGAAAGAACGCTGATTACTCAAAACGAAGAGGTAGTTCTTGTAGACTTCGCCCAAGGACGGTCGTTACTCGCATCCTGCGAGTTTCATTTACCATTCTAAGGAAGGATGGTAGAGTGGCCTGTAGAGAATTTGATATTTTTTTAAGCTTACGAATGTTTGTGTGCCTAAAAGAGCTCTAAACTTTATATTTGTTTTATCTTGGGAAAATATCTTTGCCCACTTTCTCTAAATTTATAACCTTCTTCATTTCCTTGTACGAAGAAAAGGAAGACCTGCACTCGCGAAGCATTTCGGGTATCGTATCTCAATGGAAATATCCACTTTGACCATTCCCGAATTCACTTGGACGATTTTTTTTTCGTGACGTCTGTACGTACGGACAGAATAAAGTAATAGTAATTATAAAATAATAATTATATAATAAATAATAATCTTTCTTTCCAAAACTTATTGCAAAATGGATTCAAACGGAAAAAATATAATCAAAATAGGGGATGGAGATTTAATTCCACAAATCTTAAAAAAAAACCAAAAAAAAAAGAGAGATTCGAAATTCTGAAGTTCATATCTTCCCACCTTTTTCGTAACTCGACTTAGGAATCGTCTCTTCAAATCTTCCAAATCACAACTTTTACTAAAAGTTAAACGGTTTAACTCTACATAAAAATTAGTCTAATTGAAGTCTGGTAGAAAAGTCCATTGAAGAAAATAACGCACTTGTTGCAGTTTCGTAAAGCTGGATCACATATTTTACTTAGTACTGAATTCAACATTCTTACGTTTTTGAAGAGACTAGCGTTCCAAGCTAAGTTTTTAGCTGTGTTTATACAAGCCAGAACCTTCTTGGTCCTTCTTATAGATGCTTTAATTTAAAGTGTTTTGGAAACTCCAAAAAATTCGAACATTTAGTGAAATGTTTTCCAAATTATATTAAGAAAATAATACATTCCGTTACATTCTAAAACTTAAATTTTGTATTTCAATTTCTGAATTTAATTTGTGTCTCCATAAAAAGTAAAGTGTATTATTAAATTATCATTCAATCTCTCAATGAAAATAAAAATAAGCCAAAATACAATAAAAATAAATATTATTCAGTCTCTCAATAAAAATAAAAATAAAAATAAAACAAAATTCTGTTCAATAAAAATAAGTTATCCTTCACGGTCTCAATAAAAAAAATCCTATTCAATAAAAAGAAATTAATGTTCAGTCTCTCAAAACATAGATTTATTTATTAAATATCATGTTTGCACTTAAACTATAAAATTCAGTTCAATATCAACGTCGCAAAATAATTTTAAAATGAGGTTATCTTTAGAACTTTCGATACACAGAACCGCGCGCTTTTTTTTTCTCCCGTAGAGTGTTGCCATTGCTCACATTGAAATCCTTGAGTTTGTTAATCAAAAATTCGTTAAAGTTTTACAAAATAGAAAATCGATAAAAGAACAAATTCCAAATTTCAAATTTGGTCTTCCACATGCCTATATTCGTAAGACGATTCCGTTTATTCAAAATTCGATGGCTCTATGTACCGTTGTTTTATCACAATGCGAGAAGTATACATACATTTATGCAGATTATTCATTATTTAATTTCTTCAAATATAAAGCAGGACTCTAACATTTGGTGGCAACAGTTTTAAAAGTGAAATGGACATTTATAGTTATTCAACGCAAAATCGCAAAACGAAAACAATAGTCCTTCAGGAACAAAGCTTCTTTGGATTAAAAATAAAATTCAATAAAAATAAATTATCATTCAATTTCTCAATATAAAAAAAATTAAAAAATCTGATAGCTTTCGGATTACATTACGCAAAAAGGGTTTTTTAATGTTTTGTGCGTTACCTTTATTTATTAAATATCATGTTCTTCGCACTTAAACCATAAAATTCAATCCAACAGCAATATCGCGAAATATTTAAAACAGCACATCTTTAGAATTTCCGATACACAGTCTCGCGCGGTGAAGATAAAAATGTTTTTTTTTTTTTTTTCCGTACAGTGTTGTCATTGCTCGCTTTGAAATCGTTTAACTCTTAATCAAAACCTCATAAATGCTTTACAAAATATAAAATAGACAGTAAACCAAATTCCAAATTTCAAATTTGGGCTTCCAGATGCCCATATCCGTGTGGAGACGTACGTTATTCAAAGTCGATACGTCTAAGTACCGTTGTTTTATCACAATGCGAGAAAAATGAATACATTCACGAAGATTCTTCATTATTAATTTTCTTTAAATATAATAATATTTCTTTAAATATAATAATTTTCTTTAAATATATATTATATATTATATACGATATAATACATACAGAGGCTGTTCGCACATTTTTAGACGATTTTGGTAAGCGGTAAAAAAAACGTTGCTGCAAAAGAAGAATTGCAATTGTACTATGTTTTTAAATGTGAAAATTAACGTTGTGGCTTGAAATTTTTGTTTTTATTCAAAATGGCGAATTTAACAAAGCAGTGGTTCGAAGGCTACACTTATGCTCTTTCCGAAGAGAAATATGCATACTCCGTTATCCAAAAACAATGTGAGAGTCATGGTTTTGTAATATCTACGTAAAGCGTCGATAGGTAATATCATTAACAAGAAAGGGAAAAAACGTCAAATTGGAGTCTCAAGTGGGACAAAAATTCCAATCAAGTAACCAAGGAAAAAACGGACATCTTCGACTATTGCAAAGGTACTTTGTTTAATGTTAAAAGAAAATCCTCCTAGTCAAAGGACAGTTGCAAAATCATTAAAATGCTCCGTGTCCACTGTAAAAAAAATGATAAACGTTGATTTAAATCTTAAGAAAGCGAAAAAACACAATATGCATCGTCTTCTTCCAAAGCATATCGCTCAACGCAGGACACGCTGCAGAATTCTTTATGAGAAAACTTATCGAAAAAAAATGGAAAACAATTGTCACAATAGGATGAAGCATGGGTGTATTTAAATGATTGTAACAAAAAAAAAAGAGTCATTTATTATCATAAAAGAAGAGAAAAAAATTTAAGTACATGGTTTCAAAGAATCGAAAGTTTTTCTAAGGGATTCATGATTGTTGCTGGTTTTTCTTTATAATGGAGTTAAAAATAAAGAGAGTGCAAAAAATGTCAAGATTAACTCCAAATACTATCAGGAACAATTTATCGCCAATTTTTCTGTATGAAATACCATCGCTTTACCCAAAGTGCCATCCATTTGTGAGACTCCATCGGGACAAAGCTAGCAGTCACACATCAAAATCCATTGTAAATTTCCTAAAAGAAATGGAACAAAAAACTGGTATCAAGGCCATACCCTTCACTGATATCCTTACTAAATCTTCCGATGTGTCACCTATGGAGTTTTGTGCTTTCGGACTTTTAAAAACTGCATTATCCAAACGTTGTCCCGAAACCGTAACAGGACTCTGGAAAGCTGTTCGGAAGGAATGGGATAGAATATCTCTTCTCCACTTCAAAAGGCATTATGATCCTGGAAATTGCGCGTCGAAAGATAGCTCAGAATAAGGGATGTCAAACAGAACATTTAAAACACAAGAATTTTATGTAATTTAGTTTTATGAATACAATATACATCGTCTAAAAAATGTGTGAACAGCCTCTGTAATTTCTTTAAATATAATATATATTTCTTTAATATATAAATAAATATATATATTTAAAATAAATAAATAATCAATATACATATTTCTTTAATATAATATTTTAAATATAATAATTTAAATATAATACAGAGCGATAATATTTGGTGGCAACAATATCAAATAAAGTGATTCGCTGTTTGTAGTGAACCACAGCAAAATGCCAAAACGAAATTAATAGCCCTTATGAGCTAACGCTCCTTCGGGCTAAAAATAAATTATCGTTCCGTCTTTTAATAAAAATAAAAAGGAAATAAAATTCAGTTCAATAAAAAGAAATTATTATTCAGTCTGTAAATAAAAATGAAAATAAAATTCAATTCAAAAGTAAATTATCATTCAGTCTCTCAATAAAAATAAAAATAAAATAAAATTCAGCTCAATAAAAATAAGTCGGTCTCTCAATAAAAGTAAAATAAAATTCAATTCAATAAAAATAAATTATTATTCAATCTCTCAGTAAAAATAAAATAAATTTCAGCTCAATAAAACTAAATCGGTCTCTCAATAAAAATAAATTCATTCAATCTCTCATAAAATAAAATAAATTTCAGCTCAATAAAAACTAAACTATAAATAAAAATAAAAAAATAAATTAATCATTCATTCCTCCTCTCAGTAACATAATAAACTAGCTCGGAAAACTTAAATCGGTCCTCTCAATAAAAAAAATCATTCATAAAATAAATTATCATTTAAGCAGTAAAATAAAATAATTCAGCGTCTCTCAATAATAATAAAATTCAATTCAATAAAAATAAATTATCATTTAATCTCTCAGTAAAAATAAAATAAATTTCAGCCCAATAAAACTAAATCGGCCTCTCAATAAAAATAAAATTCAATTCAATAAAAATAAATTATCATTCAACCTCTCCGTAAAAAATAAAATAAATCTGAGCTCAATAAAACTAAATCGGTCTCTCAATAAAAATAAAATTAAATTCAATAAAAATAAATTACCATTTAATCGCCGGAGTATTGTAAAATTTACTTACCTGTGGCAGGAATTCCAACAAGAACAGGTATACTCTGTGCCCATTCGACGTACGCCCAAGCTCTGCTAAAACTCTTGGCACGAATTTTTTCAAACACTAACATTTTCAGCGAATAATGGAGTCCTCCACAAGGAACACCATACATCCAAGCAAAGAGCACAAAGCCGTAGAATTCGTGTGCAGTATGAACAGAAAGAAAACTGAGTCCTATGGCTATCATGGCTGCTTGGCAGAGGTATTGCTTTCCCACAATACATTCGGCGTTTTTCTTCACCAGGAGGAGGCCGAAGATCCAGCAGCCTACAGCGAAGGCGCAGCCTAAGTGAAGTTGAAGCTGAAGGATGGAATCTTCTTCTAGACCCTCGGATTCAGCAAGGGGGACCTACTCAAAGATAACATTTTTAAAGATTATAGAAATTTCATTGTAATTTTAACTGGACAGAAAATGCAAGCTTATTTTAAAGTAGACTTTTTTTTTTTTTTTCGTTACGTACGTTTTATTTTCAGTTACATACATTTAGGTCTGCAAATATTTCTGTCTTCCATTTGTGTAAGGTCCCTGAATGCGATTCCCAATTTTAATGTCAAATACCATCTTTGTCGGCTTTTCTCGTATGGGAGTCAAACTTTTTGTATTTTATTTTTTATAACGAATAATACAAAATTTTTCTAAATAAATGTATATAGACCTGAAGAATGTGTAAAAAGTAGATTTGGTAATATTTACAAAACACGTTGCATAAAGTGTCCAGAAGATGTCAGTTTGATCTTTTAACTAATCAACGAATAAATTCTCTAAATTGTGCTTTTGTACTGACATTATTTAACATTTTTAATTTTTTAGCTTGCCATTTTACACAAGCTGTTAAATAGTAATAAAAATGGTTTCGGTTTCGTCTTAGTTGACCATGGCAAAGCACACTAAGGCTATCTGCGTAGGAAGAGGGATGCCTTCGTGGAGGACTTTTCTAAAGTAAACTGGATTGTATACACGTTACACATAGGGAAAACCATGAAAACTATGATCTTAGTTGACTATGGCAAAGCACACTAAGGCTATCTGCATAGGAAGAGGGATGCCTTCGTGGAGAACCTATCTAAGGGGAACTGGATTGTATACACGTTATAGATGTGGAAAACCACGAAAACGCCCATTCAGTCAGTCCATTTGCCTGGAATCGAACCCAGGTTGGAATTACCAGTGATCAACAGGTTACAGGCTTGAATATATGTGTTGAAAGATGCATACAATCTTGCCGAAAGTCACTCTTAATTAGTAGAGAAACTACATGTTATTATAGTTATCAATGTATAGAGTTTGGTTTGCTCTGGGAACATAAACTAGTTGCAAACCGTAATAGATGTTAAGCAAATTATCGTTGTGTCTGAAATTAGAATACAAATTACGGATGCGGACATGCAAAGATGCCGATGGATACCTGTCGTACATTACTTCTACGTGGGTTCTGGATATATGTATTTCCTACTTAGACATTTAACACCTAACTACTTAGACATTCCTAACGTAGACGTGAATGTAATGTGGGCATTGCATAAAATAGACATTTAACACCACGAACACTTTACTAACACACAAACAAAACACATATTTGACACAACAATAGAAATAGAACCACGTTTATCATTACGCTGGCATACAGCGTGTTGCTTTCGTTACTTCCTTACTATCAGTCTCTTCTCTTCTAATGTAAGTCACGTGAGAGAGAGAGGCCTTGCGCGCCACTGCGCATGCGTCGTCATTACGTCCTCACAATATCTCTTATTTCTTATCAAAGGGCTCAAGAACAGTGCAAGGAACCTCTTTCTCTTCTCTCTCTTTCTCTTTTTTCTCTTCCTCTTCTTCTCTTTCTCTCAGTTATGGAAAGCCTGCTTTCAATAGTGCAAAACCCGAAATTCACCAGGATATACATGGAGAATTTTTCTCCAATGTTCGTTTAACAAACAAACAAACAAACAAGAAAAAAAAAAAAAAAGAATATTGTAAGACTGTGTAGTTGGAACTGTACGAGACAATAGAAGGGTAAAATGTTCACTTGTGCCCTCGAAAACATTGAGTAAAATGGAGAGAGGCTCTTCTGATGCACTGTTTGGTGAAGCCAACAAAATAGCTGCAGTGCTGTGTACCTTCGTTGACAAATTTCGAAGAAACAACAACAAAAATAAATAAAGTGAAATGCAGAGGAAAAGGAAGCCAGAAGGAAATCCATTTTGTGTGACTCCATAAAACAAATATAGAAATGAGGTGGATTTACTTGTCAGAAGTTTATTTACTTCTATCCAAGAAAGAAAAAAATACTGGCCCCTTTTCTTGAACTGCTTTGAAACAACTTGTAGAAACATTAGGATTTTTTCGAAGCCAAAGAGACGAAAAATGAGCAACGCCTTCGCCAGGAATCGAACCGTGGACCTCTGAAATACACGCCCAGCGTGCAGACCACCACGCCACGAAGGCATGTCAAGAAGGCGGGATAAATACCTTATAAACTCTCATCGCAGCATGGGAAATTACCAAACCGTTTTGTCCTGAGGAAGCGTAGGAGATTTTAACAATTCGAAGCTCCATTAGCATAAAATTATTTCGGCGAGGCAATATCTAGGAACAACATCAGGCAACGAGGTTCCCTGCGAAGTAATAAAAATACCTTCGTCTCGGCACAGAACACGTGCTGGTAAAATATTCCGTGGGGCGCCAGAGAAGATGACAGTTAAAAACGTGCAAGAAAAAAAAACCAACAACTTTGCAAATTATGCAATATTGAACTTTGTATTGACTGCTTTCCCAAATTTCATTCCTAATTGCCTGTTGAATACACAACTTTTTCAAAATTTAGTAATGTATTTTACCGTTGTCCTGTTAATAATACGGCTTGTATCTTAAAACTCTCTAACTGGCCGGGTTTTCGCTAACAAAGCACAGATTTCCCAAAACTACTGTGAGGAAAAATTATTTTCTTGATTTTAATGTAAAAATTCGCCTGGTATTTTATATCTGGATTTGTGTACTTTTAATATATTGCCGTAATTTCTTTGACATATTTTAAGATTCCCGTATATATAAATTCTTACAGATATCACAAACAACATTCTGGGCCGTATATATACGGCCTTGCCGGTTAGAGGGTTAATAAAATCAAAACGAGCAGGTCTGAAAATTTTTGTTTTACACGTGCTAACATCTCATATATTATTGATGTCTCTAAAGTGTTACATTTTACTGACGGAACGTTTTGAGAGGTCCAGTATGGGTTAAACTGCATTATCTTTACAATGTGTAGCATGCTCAACATATATCAGTATCCCAATAACTGTAATACACGTCCATAAATTAAGGATAATGCAAAATCAGGCAAAGGAAGAGTTAGAAACAAAACAATTTTGACTTATTTGTAAAGCTTATTTATTAAACAAAAGGTAAAGAAGCAAAAAAGATGGCATAAAGTATCTATGTATGATACCATTCGTAAAAAAACTAGCGACTTTTTCTCCCTGGAGCAATTACAAAAAATATCTCCTTTACAAAAACTTAACCGATATTACATGGTTGGTATGATGGGTTAATACATTGTATGTCTCCCAGACGATGCAATATAGTCCGTACAACGCCTAGGCATGCTGAGTATCAAATTATCGATCTGATCTTATGGATATGGTATGACGTATGATAATACACTGCTCAAAAAGCAATGCTCTCCGAAGTTTCGGTAGACATGTAGGAGGAGGTTGACGGGCTGCAACTCTTCGCCCAAGCATGTCCCACACGTGCTCTACTGGATTCAAGTCCGGTGAGAATGCTGGTCAGTCCATACGGGTGATATCCTCCGATTGAAGGCATTCGCTTATGATATTTGCACGGTGAGGACGGGCGTTGTCATCCATAAACACAAATTGTGGCGCCCCGAAACAACCCCGGCGCCCCGAAACAAACGTACATGTTGTTCCAGAATGACGCCCCGATAGATTTGGCTTGTTATAGTTCCAATTTGAACATGCAGGTCAGTTCTGGAACCCAGAAAAATTCCACCCCAAACGAGCACTCCTGCACCACCGTAACGGTGTCGTTCAATGATGTTTTCTTGGTGGTAACGGGTACCTGGAACCCTCCATATGAAAGTCCGGCGAGAATCAGACTGCAAGCTAAACCTGAACTCGTCGGAAAACATCACACAAGCCCACTGTTGCGGTGTCCACAATGCTTGCTCTCTACTACAGGCTAACCGCAGGCGACAGTGAGTTGCAGTAAGTGGAACGCATCTGACAGGTCTACGAGCATATAGACCAATCTGCCCTAAGCGTCTGTACGCGGTCTGCCTTGAAACTGTCGTACCAGTGGCTGAAGAGAGCTAACGAGACAGGTCTGAGGCTGTGCTCCGCCTGTTTCTTTCGGCAGTAACTGCCAAATGCCGGTCCTCATTCGGCGTTGTAACTCTGGGGCGACCTGTGCGGTAACGTCTACTCACATAACCATCATCTTGGAATCGTTGCCAAAGCCTGGAGATGACACTCTGGGCAATTCCAAGTTCGTCTGATCCTTCCAGTTGGGTACGCCCCCATTCCAGACGGCCGATAATTCTACCACGTAAAAAATCGTCGAAATGCATCCTTTGTGTCATAACTATTCAGTTATTGCACTGAAATGCTTATAAAGCGCCTGCGAACAATTTTACTTCTTTGCTTGTATTCCTTATATATCACTCTCTTACACTCTCGTCATTGTGATGTACCATCGGTGTCATGTGGTTACTTCCTTAAATTTGCATATGATTCTTGAAGATGTGTGTGGTGATTTTACAGGTGACATATTTATTTTTGAGTTCGATTTCCGCGTGACTCCGAATTATCCTTAATTTATGGACATGAGTGTATATGACGTAAGACGTGTAATAGGGAATTAAAATGACCTTGGAGTACTTTGAAGAACATCGCGTAATGCAAAAGATCGGTTATCTAGAAGTCCCCTTCGTCAAGAAATTACAGTGGCATATGCAGCAATCTTGCTGGACACTGGCCAGTTTGTTCCAGCAAACTCTTGCCGCTGCGGTATGCGTCTGGCAGTTAATAGTTTGGTAATCTGAGAACTGCAAGTAAGCGTGTAGGTTCAGGCAGACTGCATTAAACCTGGCTTTATGTATGATATGCACTATTATATTAACTTGTACTTAAGTTCGGTACTCTCACATAATAAAGGATTTTCTTTCCTTAAGGTAAGCAAGTAACTATTTCGTCACCACATTCCGTCAGACATATGTCGACGGAATGAATCGGACATATATTGACGTCACGCATATGTCTATATGTCTGACGTCGGCATATATATATATGTAATAATAAAATTCCATAATTAAAAATACACTTAAAATTCTA